CTAGGGTCTAAAATGGAGTGAAAAATCCATGCATACTCAACCCCCTAGCCCCAGCACACACACACACAAACACACACACAGTTCCCTACCTAGTCAAGCTCCTTGCTCATAAAGATAGCAGCCTGAGGCACAGCTAAATTTATAGGACTCAGCAGGCCTGCTAGAGCTTGTCTGGGATGGTGCTGTGCCAGGAGAATTTCAAACCCTGGCCACATGTTTCTGGCCCATTGGCCATTCCTAAACCAAATTTAATCATACCTTTGAAAGTCTCAAGCAAGCAGTTTAGTTGCTGATCTTTATAAACTAGTTTATTTATATATACAGTGGCAAGGGTTGTGGAGAACATGGGGGCATGTTCTCAATATCTATGACCAGAAAGAGACTCAACCTAAAGCTGGTAGTTTTCACAGTTGCCATCGCTATGAATATTAGTTAAGCTTTGTTGAGAGCTTTTTTTGTGTGCCAGGCACTGTACTTTGTAGGCTGTAATCTCATCGGGGGCCAATCTAGGTTTTGTGGGGCTGGAAGCTTGTGCCACTTTGGGGACCCTCTTTAAGAAAAACACAATGTTTGATCCCTCCCAAGTTCTTGGAAAGGGGCGTAAAGCTTAAGCTTCATTATTTTTACTGTAAAGCCACCTTTGCGTCTTATTTAATCTTTTTGACAATTCTGTGAAGTAAGAAGATATCTTTAAAATAGGTGAGGAAACTGATGTATAGAGATGTGAAGGCATTTGCCCAGGGTTTCTTCTCTCAGCTAACTAAATTTCCTTCTCCAAAATATCTTTATCCTTTGCTGGCAGTAACCTTAGCGCTGTCCTCTGGGACATGTGAGGAACTTAACACTGGTTCAACATTAGCAGAGGGGCGAAAGGTCTTCTTCTAGCTGAGCTCGCAGAAGAAATATGCTCTCTGGGGAGCTGTGGAATAAGAAGAAAAGTGGGTGAGGAGGACAGTTTTGTTCCCAATAGGTCTGAACTATGCCCTGGTTTTAGCTATATTTTTGTTGTTCCATGAACAACAGTGATTTAATGAATGCAGGTTTTTCTGTTTATATATTGCTTGACTTCCCTCCCATCTCCAAGCCAGCTTTACCCAACTGAGGCCCTAACTCCCCTCCCATCTACCCACCCTTCCTCACTTTGCTCTATTCTGCCCCACCTTCCTGTCAGCCCCAGCTTCTCAAGCCTTCTTTTTTTATTGTTGTTGTTCTACTGGGAACAGAGAGGGTGGAGTCCTCTTACTGAGGCTTTTCCACCTCCCCTCCCTCCAGCCTTCAGACTGGGCTCCACCCTGGTAGTTTGTAAGCTGGCTTTCAGGAGGAGGAGAAGCAGTATGATGAAGAGGAGAAAGACAGGAAGGGAAGAACAGCATATGTGTGCTCAGAATAGTGTCTGCATCTTTCTCAGCTGCTTTTCATTAGGTTCCACACTTAATTCTTTTTTTTTTTTTTTCTTATATAGACGGGGTTTCAATCTTTTTTGCTAGGTTTTGTCTTGAACTCCTTTCCTTGTGATCCACCTGCCTTGCCCTCCCAAAGTGCTGGGATTACAGGCGTGAGCCACCACACCCGGCCCTTTTGGTTTTTTTCTTTTTCTTTTTTTTTTTTTTTCCACTTAATTTAAGTCTTATCCTCCTCATCCTTGGATACACAGAGGAAAGCACAGTCTGCTTATTCAAGCAGTTTCCCTCAGGCATAAGGTGGGAATGGAAGGAGTTGAAAATATCGCAGGTTGGTATTTGGTTCATGTTATTCTAGCTAGCTAAAGAAAGGAGAGCCTGTAGTGCTTCCTAGAAGGACAGGGAAATTTATCAAAACTTCTAGTTCTCCAAACCTGCTCCCTCACACCCTTTCCTGTGACATAGACAACACCAACCACATACTGATTATTTTGATGTGTCAAGAGTAAAAGAATATAAAGGCAAATTCCCGCCTTTGATATTAACTGTGGTCATGGGTTACATAGTTCCCTGTGAACTACCTATGTGTCCTAATTTGAGTGAGACCGAGGCCATACTTGAAAGAGAAATGTGAACTAATACGCTGTGTGTGTACAGTGAAATTGAGGGCCCCTCCTCTGAAGCCTCTCGGATTGAATGGATGTTCTCATTCTATCCCTCACCCCAACACCTAGCATTGTTCTTGATAAAGCACAGGTGGTCAGTACATTTTATTGACTGAACGGATGGAAGAACAGATAGCAAAGGATCTTGGGTTTGTTTCTCCAAGTTTCAATAACTTCAAGTTTTTCAAAAACTGAATTTGCCATCTAAGGTCTACGTTTTCCCCACAAATAAAGTTGAGGCAGTATTTCTAAAACAAACAAAAAACTAGAGCTTAAAATAAATTTGTTAACAAGAAAGACTTTTCATAAAATATAAACTGTTCGGTTATCTGTGTACGAATGGATCTTCTTGAAAAGCTATTTCAGAATAAACAAGTAATGCGATGGCCTTAAGGCATACCCACTGTATTCAGGGCTGGTAGTGGCTACTGTTTTCAGCATGTTACTTCAGTGATCTACTCATTTTCATCTACACGTCACAAAAATGCATTTATTGTTGATATAAACTGTTTAGTGTCTTTCACACACTTGAATTTAAGAGAAAACTTTTCAGCATTGCTCAAGATAGTCTTGGCTGTAGTGGTGAGAATCCTATGTTGAATAATACTCCCCAAATTTTATACATTGAGAAACAAAGCCTCGAAGGGATAAAGTAAATTTTTTAAATGAAGGCATAGATAGTTGTACACTTCTCTGTATGATTCCATGTCAATATATTTTACCTTGTAAGCTTGGCAGGGGTGCAGGTGGTGGTGAAGAGATATAGTGAGATAGTTATTTATGAAACCCCTACTACAGGGATACTCTTTTATGAAACAAATATTTATGCATATGTATTTATTTAACCTCTGTCACTAAGTTTCCTCATCTGTAAAATGGGGATAGCAGTAATGTCTACCCATAGGACTGTCAGAAGGATTCAATGAGTTAATATACATAAGAGGCTTACAACAGAGTGTAGTACATAGTTAATGCGCAATAACTATTATTATTGTTAATAATAATGTAACCTGGCATCCAAGTTACAGAAATGAAATCACCTGGTGCTTCAGCTCAAGGACTTTACAGTTTAGTAGGGGGAAGCAATTATACCAACAAATTTGTGCCCTGAGGAAGAGAAGGGGACAGAGGAAGCATTGGTCAGTTTTACCTGAAGAAATTAAGGAGGGGAGATGACCTTGAGTTAGTCCTTTCAAGAAAGTGGATGGGTTAAGGCCGGGCACAGTGGCTGACGCCTATAATCCCAGCACTTTGGGAGGCCGAGGCGGGTGGATCAAGAGGTCAAGAGATCGAGACCATCCTGGTCAACATGGTGAAACCCCGTCTCTACTAAAAATACAAAAAATATCTGGGCATGGTGGTGCACACGTGTAGTCCCAGCTACTCGGGAGGCTGAGGCCGGAGAATTGCTTGAACCCAGAAGGCCGAGGTTGCAGTGAGCCGAGATCGCGCCACTGCACTCCAGCCTGGGTAACAAGAGCGAAACTCCGTTAAAAAAAAAAAAAAAAAGAAAAAAAGAAAAAGAAAGAAAGTGGATGGATTAATTGGAAGGACATGCAAGAAAAAAAGGTGGGCAGAGAGCTTAGTCTATTTCAGTCAGAGAAAGTAAAGCAACCCAAGGTAGAGATTGGAAACAGCTTGGAGTTCCCAGGGATTTGTAATCCAAGTAAAGCCCGGGAGAGCAGCAAAATCTCTGCTGTTTGAGAGGCAGGCAGAGGCCAGATCACAGCAGGTTAAAAGATGAGTTCCAGGGTGCTGCCTTGCATGTGTGGTGGTGCCATTCAGGTAGTTGGTGAACTACAGGAGGAAGAACAGTATTTTGGGGAAAGGAAGGTAGATGAGATGCTCTAAAGACATTCAGGCAGAGATATCAACTAAGAAAGTGGACCTATGTGTTCAAAAATACTGGGCTGTGGCCCTCCGTTTCCTTATTTTTTTAAAGAAAGGGCGCATAGAATATAACAATATCTAGTTTCCGGGGTTGTTATTGGTACTAAATGGGGAAATGATGAATGTAAAAGCACCTGGCCCAGGGACTTGCCCATATTAGGTGCTGAATACATGGCAAATATTGTTATTTCTCCTGTGTCTGTGCTGTTCCTCCCTCTGCTTTGTTTCTCGTCTCTCTTCTTTTTCCTCCTCTTTAAAAGAATTGCGGTAGGGAAGAGGCACTGAAAATGGGCTGTGGTTGCCTGTGACTTCCTGGCCTCCCATTAAAATGAGTTACAGAGAGACTTTCAGGCAAGCGTAAAGAAATCCTGGAAACATGGCTCCTATCCTGTGGATTCAGCTTTATGGGGATTTTCGCCAATGCCTTGCTGAGAGGCGGTCTCAGGGGGTTGAGAACTCTATTCTTAGAGGTCTGGTATCTGGGAGACTGAGAAAGCCTTTCTTAAGTCTCCCTGCTGGGCCACGCTGTATTCACAGATCGTCTTCAACTCCTCCTTCTTCCCCACCTACTCCTTCGCCCTCACCTCCTTCGCTTATCTCTTGCTAGAAAATGCACCCAGCTCCAATCTCCGTTCCTTTTAGCTTCCTCCCTGAGAAGACACTGTGACCTCGCTGTCCTTGCTGGTGTTACCATGGAGAGGTAGGAGGATAAATATCGCTTCCAGTAGCCAGCTTTTTTGTTTTCTCCTTTCCCCATCCTTTCCCTCCTAGACAGCCCCCAGCACCAATCCCAGTACCCGTTTCACCCTCCCCTGGAGAGTTAGCATAACCGGAGTAAATAGGTAACCGAGCAGTGTGCTTGCAAGCCTTAATTTTGGTACAGATAAGGAACTGAAATTGATTCGAATTATACCTGCCGCTGCTGGAGGCTGAGGGTGGCGGCCGCCGGGGGCGAGGCCAGCTCTCTCGGCCCAGGGCCCCGCCCCGCCCCCCCTTCCTCCCTCCCTCCTCCTTCTCAGCCCCACCCTTCTCCACCTCCTCCCACTTTGCACTCTCCTCTAGCGGCCGCCTGTCCTTTTTAAGGAACTCCACCCTAGGTGGAGTCCTCACGATAGTCACACCTCTTTTTTGGGCCTAGCAGGGCCAGAGAAAGACGGAATCACTCCACCCACTCAGGTTGCCCAGAGAGCACTTTAGGTTCTCACCCGCGTGGGGGGGCGAGGTCCCCAGTGGGGCAGCTAGGTGCCTCTAAGAAACCCCGCCCCGGAGGACCCGCACGAGTTGCTGCCATTTTTCGCTGAAGCCCCTGCCCTGGGGCTGGTGTTCTTCTCTATGATTCTACCAATCATCGGCATTTTTCTCCTCCCTTCTTTCTTTTTAGGAAGGCGCTGGGGTGTGCGGCGGCAACGGCGGCGGTGAAGGGATCCTCTTGTGGTATATCCTCGTGGGTTCCTGTCTTGAAGGATTTCTTCTCCGCCTCAACTTTGTATTCAAGTAGTGCTTTGGGGTTTGGGTTGGTTTTCTTAGCCCCCACCCCCGGCCCTCTCCTTTTAAAGGGTGTGTGGAGTTCAGAGGATGGGTGGAGAGTGGGCTTGGCCGGAACTGAATTGGTGGAGGTAAAAGGGGAACGGAGGATCTTAAGCTCAGGCCACTTCGGCCCAGCGAACCCACTTTATTTTTGTCCAAGGAAAAGCTGCAGGGGGAGGATTCTTTTTAGGAAGTCTACTCTGCCGGCCCCTGATTTTTGGGTTGGATGCTTGAGAGCTTTGTTTCCCTTGTTCCGAGAGTGGCCCAGCTGGGTCTGAATCGACTCCCTCCCCTTTCGATCCCCTCCTCATTTTCCAGCCCGAAGAAAAAGGGGAGTGGGGGGCCAAGAACGAGCAGACGAGAGCGCGTCGCCCTGCGCGTTGTCAGAATGGGGCGGGTGTGAGGGGAACTGCTCTCTTGCCATCAGCTCAGGAGTATGAGCTTCCCGGAGGACGGCATGAGTTCTGGACACTTCAGGAGTCCTCAGCTAGTGACATGGTCGGTAAGTGACTCTGGGACTAGTACCCACCCACTCCATCTCTTTCGTCTAGATTCTATCCCCCTCCCAGTCCCCGTGCTTTCCCCACACACCCCACTTGGTGTTTTAGCAGTGGGGGCGGGAGCGGAAGGTTAATAACACCATGTGGAATCAGATGAAACTCAATGGAAAATGACTTTGCTAAAGGGCTGGTCCAAGAGGGGCTAAGGAGAGGAGAGAGCTTGGTGGAAGAAGTGAAAGAGGGCAAGAATGGATGGATTTGTCTAGTCTAGTCCGCCCTGGCTGGGCACTCCCAATACTCCTTAAGCGGTAAGGATTGTCGTTGACTTAACCCCACACAGCCAAAGTCACAATCCGAGAAAACAGGATTCAGAAGGCCAACGCTCCCAGGTAACCCCCTGAAGCCTTGGCGGGTACCTAGAGAAGCTTCTGAAAAGAGGGAGGAGGGGACAGGGGTTTAAGGTGCAAACTTAGGCTCTGGGAGGCACAGAGTGAGGCCTGGAAGCAGCTGCGGGGGAGGAGCTGCTTTGGGCGTGCCAGCTCTTTAAGGAGGGGCTGAGGTTGGTTGGAGAAGGAAGCCTGAGCCTAGGCTCTGCTTCGGCCCTTTAAGACGTGGCCAAGGCTGTTGGTTCGTCTGTGTAGGTGGAAGATTGATTGGGCTGAATTGCTGTGATTGCTGAAGTGAATCCATTTGTTCAGTCACTTGGAGGAGCTGTCTTTTTGTGGGCTTTTTTTTTTTTAACCCTAAGAATTTGGGAAAAAAATAAATCACATCCAAACAGGTGGCCAAAGGCACGATGTCTTATTTCTTTTGGTATTGTCTTCATCGTGAAGAAAGGCATTTATTAAGTGTGGTAATAACTGAGCAAAAAGAATAATCTCTAAATTTGGATTTGAAACTGATGGAGATTGCCATGGTGTGGGGTAAAATAAAGATCTGCTTTGAAACCCTAGTATCACCACTTATTAGTGCATCACCCTGGGTCCTGCTTTTCTCTTCCATAGAATGCAGTAGATACTCGGGTGGATGAAATATCTTGTGTATGTGGCAGAGGCTGCCACTTGTATCTTAGTTTAACTTCCTTTTTCTACTCAGTTTGGAAGTCTTTTTCTGAAGCACTGCTGATAAAATTGGTGTTTTTCTGTCCTTAAAACACCTTCCACATGTGGTAAAGGGAAAAATAGGAAGACTGATTTAGTTTGCCCAAAGGCTGAGGCTAGAACACAGGTTTTATTTGCTTCTTATTTAACATTGTTTCCACTAGACTATCACTTCTGAAAGAGCGGGCCATTAGCCTGCCTTTCCTCTCATTCTTTGGACAACTTAACCAGAATAGTATAATCAACAGGACCTTTGGACAACAGAAACAAGTGATTCATAAATGACCTCATCCCATTCTTCAGAGTTATGGGGGAACCCCTTTTATGAGAGTTGTTGACCTTTGGTGACTGCTGAGGACACAGAGAATGGGTGGGGAACAATTTCTTCAGGTAAGCCTGTGGGGCAGACAGGCAGAAAACATAGGAAGAGTAGAAGTAATAACCTCAAAAGTAAAAATGACAAGAGCATCTATGTAGTCCGTTCTCAAGACCAACTTAGTTAATGGCTCTACCTTCAAGACTCTACCTTCAAGACGGCTCTACCCTCCTGTTTAGACTTTTCAGGATACATTGGAAATTCAGAAAAAATAACCATGAACCAGAACTAGCATCACCACTCTCATTGTTCTAGTGCACGTATTTCTGAGATGGGGTTCTCATTGGCTCAGTTAAGTGAATTTCAATAACCAAAGTACCAAGCAGAGTCTAGCCATCTTTGACCTTGCCAGATTGTCTGTGTTTGGTGCGGTGGGGACTTCGGGAGGGAGCTCAATCACTCTTTCTCATTCTGGCAGGGGCTTTATTATTATTTAATACATTTGTATATTCACCCTTGCCTTGAGTAACTTGTACTTTATGACCTCACTTAAATTGCTGAATGAAGAGAAGATCATCTTTGGATATATGATTCATTTAGCAAATATGTGTCGAAATACTAAATATCAGGTACTGAGAATTTTTTTTAACTCATTTTCTTTATTTATTTTTTTTTGTTTGTTTGTTTTTTTTTGAGACGGAGTTTCACTCTTGTTACCCAGGCTGGAGTGCAATGGCGCGATCTCGCTCACCGCAACCTCCGCCTCCCGGGTTCAGGCAATTCTCCTGCC